AAATAAGTCAGAAAATGTCTGAAAGAAGTGCCTCTTATGCAAATTACTTGCATGCCTGTCCCGTTATCTTCTAAGTGGTCATCTGAATCACTTTTTCCCAGCTGCTGAAATGCTGTATGGAATAGAATTTTCTCTTTTGTCTCTGGCCCTCAGTAGGTCATCAAAATGATGATGAGTTACTGTTGATCTTTAAGAATAAGTTGTGGATGACTAAAGTGTGTGGGGGCCTGATGACCCATCACACAGGATTTCAGATGAGATTCATTTGTGCCATTATCTGCCGCTGTGTTGATTTCCTTCCATGTTGGATGATTGCTCTGGCCATGGCCTTTTTCTTTTGACTCTGTTGAAGAGGAGGTTAGTATGTAAATGTTTTTTAAAACTATTGGTTGTTTTTTTTTGCATATTTGGGGCTGATGGGCAATATAAAGATTCTGAAAAGGGGGTTTCTTCCTTTAAGGCAGTATAGTATAGTGATGAGAGTTGGGGCTTTGAAGCATCAGATCTGGGATATAATCTCAGCTCTTCCGTGTCCTAACTGTGTGACTTTGGGCAAGTTACTTAACCTCTCAGTGCCTCTATTTTCTCTTCTATAAAGTAGGCATAATAGAACCACTTTGGGGTTGTCATAAGATAATATGTACAATGTTTAGTGTAGTGCTTGGCACAGAATAAACATTCAACTAGAACAGTTACTGTGACTGCTGCTGTTATTTAAAAAGTTTTAAAAGGGGTATGATCCAAAAAGCAAGTATGATTCTTGATGGGAAATGCTCTAATGGAAGCTTTCATCTGTCGTCCTGGAGAAGGGAACCGTTGATACCCACTGACTGTAGGAGTTAATGAGAGCTTCATAAAGGATCTTAAGAGAGGAGAAGGAATTTTCCTGGTAGAGAGGGGGAGAGGTTTCCTAGGGACATCAGCAAAGGTATGAGGTCAGAAAACTAGCAGGCTAAGGCAACAGTGACACCTTCCTCTCTGTGTAATAAAGCCAGTAAGGTTTTGTTTGTTTGTTTAAACAAGGGTGCCACCTGTGCTGATCAGTTCTGGTGGCAGTGTGGCATCTTGTTTGGAGAAGACAGGGACTGAGGGCAGTGACCTGTAAGCATGTTACTGCAGGAGCCAAGGTGAGATGTTGGGGCCTGACTTGTGGCAGTGGGAATGGAGAGAAGGGATGCAGACTGGGACAGGAAGCATGAAGTTGCACGGAGAGCGTGGGCATTGGAGTAACACTGGAGTTTGGATCCTTGTTCCCCCACTTCCCTAGCTGTACAGCCTTCTGTGAATTTCTTACCTCTCTGAACCTCCGTTCCTTCCTCTGTAAAATGGGAACTGCCCCTTCTTAGGGTTTTGGGGAAGAGTAGATTCAGCTGCATAACCCTGCTGCAGCCTGGGCCTGTCAGTCCTCAGTAACTGTTACGCTCATTTTATCCCAGAAGACTGTGTAGGGTTGAGCCTCTAGCAAATAGTGCTTTATTGGGTGTGAGAGAGAGAAACATTGAAGATGACTTTGAGGTTTCTACCTTGGATGTATGGTGGTACTATTAAGTAAACTAGGAAAGACAGGAAAAGGGGCAGAATTTTGGGAAAAGATATGTTCAGTTTTGGATTTGTCAAATTTGAAGGGACTGTGGGAAATCCCAGTCCTGGCTTTCAAACACACTTAAATATATGTTTGGAGGTTAGTGCTAGAAATACAGTCCTGGGATTTATTGGCGTATAGATGGAAATCGATGTAGAAAATGAATAACTTTGCTTTGAGAAAGCTTATAGACTGAGGAGAGGGCTGAGCATGGAAACTTGCAAAAAACCAACAGTAGAAAGAAAATGCTAGCTACATTGTAGAGAAGGGAGCCAGTGGAGGCCCAGAAAACCAAGCAAGAGGCTTTTAGGGGGCTCTAGTCTGGCCTTTCTCAGCGTGGGCCCCAGGTCACCTGCATGAAGGTCTGTTTCTCCATTGGGCACTGAAGCCACAGTGTGTAGGATCCACAAGCTTTTCTGGGGCCTATGCAAATAGGAGTGAACTGAAAAAAGATGAACATTCTGAGAGGGGAAAATTATAAAAATCCTTTCAAACAGTTAAAAGCCAGAAACTATTTAATATGGGACGAGGGTACATTTAAATGTTTGCTATGACTTCTTTCTAAAAGAAAGAGTGCCAGTGGCTTGTTGGCATCATGATAGCGTCAAACTTGAATCAGAATCGCCTGGGGTACTAGTCAGGCTTTGGTCCCCCTCACCCTTCTTTCTCTCCTCCAGCGGGTGGAGCCTAGGCATCCTCCTTTTTTAATAAACCCTCAAGGTGAGGAAAGCTTGAAAACCCTTGGTCAGGCCTTGTCTGGTGGTGCTGCAAGTCCATACTGAGTTTCAGGGCCAGTGATGCCCTGTCCTTTGTGATCAACTGAGTTTATTGATTATATAGAAAAATATTTGATTATTCTAATTCCCATCTCTTGTTTTCTGATTGTTTTTCTGAGTTTGTTAAGCCTCCATTGTGAAATTTTGATTAATTCATAATTGGATTTCTTTTGCCAAAGCATATTTTTAAATGTGGCTAACGTTTTAAGCCTGTTGAAAATAACCGCCCTTTAGGGATCCAGTAGCAAACTTAACTTCCTCCCCAGACCTTGCCAGGGCCGCTGCCCCATGCTGATCCTACCCTTACAGCCTGTTCAGTTTTTAAGACTCTGCCATCAAATTGCACTTTAGAAAAATCCAATGGTATTGACCAGGCCTCTTTTCTTTTCTTTTCTTTTCTTTTGACTGCTAGTGTTTCATAATCATTCATCATCACTCTCTTCTTCAAACTCTTTTATTCCTTTGGGTCAGTGGGTAGACATAGCCTCCTGGAGCACCAGTTCCTGCTTTGTTTGTTGTGTTACTGGTCCTATTGCTTCTTATCTGCTAACTATGGGCATTCTCTAAGACTGTGTTGGGCTGTGGCTTTTCTTTCTCTGAGGAACTTCTGCGAGACCTGATCATTCTCACCTGCTGTAGCTGTTACAGTGTAAATGCCTCTTACATCTCTGAGTCCACCTTCTTGGGCCAGCCCATTTCCTTAGACCCAGCTTCACTTGACTCTGCATTTGTCCTCAGCTGAACATGTCTTCAGTTTATTATCACCCTTCTGCCACTGGCTCTGCCTCTCAAGCGTCTTTTGTTTCAGTAGAGCTGCATTCTCCTAGCCAGACACAGCTTGACACCTCAGGGGCCTTTTCCTCCTTTCATTCCTTGAATCCACCAAGATACCATTTGGTCACCTTTTCTCTGTCCCTTATGAGGGTCTCTTCTTTTCAGTCTTTCCTCCTCTGCTCTAATCCAGGTCTTCATAAGTTCTTAGGCTCTTAACTGCTTTTCCCTATGTGCCTCCTTCAAAGCCATTTTGCCATTGTAGAATTCTGTCACAGTCCCTGTTCAGAACTGCCACTGGCTTCCCACTCCAAAATTTCAGTCTCACTTTTGAAGCCTTCTCCATGTGTTCACCCTGTAACCCATTCAGCTTTGTGTGTGTTGCTTGTGTACAGTACAAACGCTCCACTAAGAACAGCGAGTCATGCTTCCCTGATTCCACCGCAGTGGTGCCTCTGCTCTTCTTGTTCCTTCTGCTCTCGGCCCCTCTTCCCCTTCCGTATGCATCGTTTTCAGCATAACTCAGCGCCCAGCTCCCTCACAGAGACTTCCGTTCCTCCCTGCTCTGCCCACACTCATCTCTTCTTTCTTGGTTTTTAGCACTTTTATTTAGTGCTAGCTTTGCATTTTCCCATATAGTTACTATCCGTCCAAAGCTCCTTGTCTCTAATTCTAAAATCTGACAAGTTTGGAAAACTGAAAGCTATTTAATAACCTTGGCACAAAACTCAGGCAAAACCTCTCAGAATGGATGTGAACTGTGTTTTTAAATTTATTCCATCTAGTGTGACTGTTCATACATTCTGCTGAAGAAATATTAATCCGTCTGGTCGTGGGGCAGTTGGACAGGATGGAAAGTGAAGGGATGTCATCAGTTTGTGCTTTTGGGACTGCCGAGTTCCTCTAGTACTATTGTGCTTCTCAAAACAGGGTGTGTGTACCCCTGAGAGTATGCAGGGGAAATAGGAAATTACAAGTACACATGCTTGATAGCCGGGAGGGTCAATTTTATTTAATAATTTGAGGGGGAGAATGAAATGTTAAAATAGATATAGTAGATAAAATGCAAAATTTCCATGCATTTAAAAAATAAAAGATGAGATTTCAAAGAAATTCAGCTACTGTGGTTAGGTGGGGAGAAAGTTTTTTTTTTTGTAATTGAGGTAAAATTGGTTTATAACGTTATGTAAGTTTCAGGTGTACAACATTATAATTCCACTTCTCTATATGCTCACCACCAAAAGTTTAGTTTCCATTCATCACCATACAGTTGACCCCCTTTACCCATTTTGCCCTCCTACCCCTCTTCCCCTCAGGTAACCACCAATCTGTCTTCTGTATCTATGTGTTTGTTTTGTTTTGTTTGTTATTGGTTTTTTTTTTAATACTACACATATGAGTAAGATCATACAGTATTTGTCTTGAGAGAAACTTCTTCACTCTTCGCCTCAGTTCGGGTGCTCAAGCCCTGCTCTCATTCAGAACTCGGACAGTTTGCGTTGTTGTGTTTCTAACTGGCTGGACTTTGGATTTTGTCCTTGTAAAGTTCTCCAGGGCTGCAAAAACTTCTAAGACTATGACTTTGTCAAAGAAGGAATAACGCTAGTGCATCAGTCAGACTGACTTTAATAAGAAAGGAAGATGCATGCAAGTGAAGGCCAGAAAGGGTTACTTAGAAAGATCAGTTGTGTCATGAGGAGGCTAAACTTGACAACAGAGGCAAGTTACTGGGGTTAATTTCCAAAGCTGTATCTTTAGGTAGCCCAGATACCTCTCATTAATTTTTGTTTGTTTTACTTAAGCATTATTACAATGTTCTTTCTCACCATGTTTTGTGCTTTTTTGCTGTGTTCTGTCTCGTTTTTTAGTAGGCAACAAATAATGGCAGCAGCTACGGGGCATCCTGTACTCTCCAAATTGCAGTTTGCCCCCTTTACCAGTGCTTTGGATGTTGGATTCTGGCATGAGTTGACCCAGAGGAAGCTGAATGAGTACCGGCTGGATGAAGCTCCCAAGGACATTAAGGGTTATTACTACAATGGTAGGCGATAGTAAATTCCATCTTCCATCATCTTCTGTTATCTTCTCTGCCCTCCAGTGTAGGGTCAGCTTTCCTTTAGAAAGGGACACCTTTGTCTTTGATAATTAATGCTCTTCCTTGCTTTCTATTTTACTTCCTGACTTTTGACCCAAGTTCATTTTCACTTCTTTTCTCCTGTTGCAGGGAAAAGAAAGAGAGTAGTGAAACCCAGGTTATTAATCCAAAGAATTAATACTGATTACTTAGTATTGCTGGTGGGGGGGAGACTGGAAATATTTTATTCTAATAAATCTCTTTTTATGTTCTTGGCAAATTCCTTGAATTCACAAAAGCTCTGTCATTTTCTGCCATGTCCCTGTTTAGTTTTGATAACCGGGAATTGAGTGGGGCACTTTGGGCTCAACAAAGAGAACAAAATCATTCACAAATGTTTTTGTTATGAATGCTGCTATTACTGACTTACAATTGAAAATGTGATAATACTTCTGTGCAGGTGATTCTGCCGGGCTGCCAGCTCGCTTAACATTGGAGTTCAGTGCTTTTGACATGTGAGTATATTTTGCTTAAAATCTAAAGTAAAGAACACTGTTTGTGGGGCCGGCCCAGTGGCGCAAGCAGTTAAGTGCACGCGCTCCGCTGCTGCAGCCCAGGGTTCGCCAGTTCAGATCCTGGGCGCGCACCGACGCACCGCTTGTCAAGTCATGCTGTGGTGGCGTCCCATATAAAGTAGAGGAAGATGGGCATGGATGTTAGCCCAGGGCCGGTCTTTCTCACACACACACAAAAAAAGAACACTTTGCTTTTTGCAAGGAATGAGCCTTCTTAACCTCCCTTATAGGTGGACCACGGAGGGGACTGGGGGAGCTCCTGGTGAGCAGGGCCAGCTCCTCATGATTCTCTTTACCTCCCACAGCACAGAGACAAATGCTAGATGCTTAGGACTATCTGATTCATTTTTTCAGCAGATATTTATCAGAGCCTATTAGGTGCCAAGTACTATCTAGATTGATTGAGACTTAGATAACATCCCTCCTGATTTTGATTGTAGTAAATATTTTGTGATCCTTTTTGGTACCTCTTGACTTACTCCTTTAGTTGCTTATCCACAGGCATCAATGAACATTTATTAGGCTACTTCTGTATACAAGCCACTATGCAAGGCATTATAGGGATATACAAAGAAGTATGACAACACCCTCAAAGAGTTTTTTATCTGGTTCGGGGCCATGGGGTGTTGCTGGAAAGAAGAGAGACATTTATTGACTTAATTAGCTAGGCTTTTTCACATATATAATCCTTTCAGATCTCCCAGGTGTGATTTTTCTCTCGTTTTCAGATGAGGGAACAATGGGTCAAAAGGTAAAATGGCTTGCCCAAGGTCACATGTGGCCTAATTTAGGAAGGAAGAGTGAGAGAAAGGTAAAATGTGTTTCTGAGCTTGCAATCTAAGTAGCTGGGGGCATATTGTTCTCTTCTACAGAAATAGAGAAACCAGGAGGGGCTACAATTTTAGGAGGAGGTAAGTTTGGTTTAGAACATGTTGAGCTTGAGATGACAGCGTCCAGTAGAAATGTCCAGGAGACACTAGAGTCAAGGAAGGATGATTAGACTAGATGTGGGAGTCTTGCACATAGCAGAGATCATGAGGCTGTAAGAGAGGGAGAGACTAGAGTGTAAAAAAAACAAAGGGCCAGAACTGAACGTATTCGATTAGGGAGGGCAAGAGGATACAGAGCTAGCAAAGGAGATGGGAGTTATCAGAGAGGAAGAAGAACCGGAAAAGTGTGACAGAAACCAAAGAAAGAAATGTTTTCAGGAAGGAAAGAGATAGTCAACAATGTCAGAATCAGGAAGGTCAGAATTCAATGCAAGCGTCCTTGGATTTGTTGATTAGGTCTTTTGTGGTTCTTGAGGATTCAGTTTCTCAAACTGAATTCTGCACAAAAGAGTGGAGCAGAAACCATGTTGAGAGGCTATAAGACAATTGAGAGCTGAAGAATTAAAGGCTGCAGAGAGGGCAACTTTTTCTGCTTTCTTGTACCTTAGTGGTGTCAAGATGAGGGGTTTGGGAAAGGCGAAGAGGTCTTTGTAAGGACTGCCTGGCTTTTGAAAGTGGCAGTAGTCAAAGGCTAGTGTATTTCAAATAAAGTATCCCTGGAATTTTATTTAAATCTCTCCAAAAGTCAATACATTTTATATCTTTAAAAGGTAAATGTTGGTGTTTCTTATTCTCTTCAGAGCTTTCTTGCTCTGTAATAAATTCCTTTGATTACTTGTCAAAACAAATTAGATTCTAGTAATCTGTTTTGGCAAAGACTAACTTACTTTTGGAGCAATTACAAGATAAGGAAGAAAATACAGACAGTGTTCAAGCGTTAAATTATCTGAAGATGATAAAGTGGGGTGTAGCTTTAACGTAATCTGGAGATTCTAACATTCATCACAAGCTAGTCTCATTCCTATTTTTATTCTGAGACTAGACTGAAGGTTATTTTTTAAAAGATATTGTCGTTTTATTCTTTGGAACAATTAATTATAGAAAAAAGCAGTTGACAGAAGTTAGGCTTGATCTTATAAAATCCAAGCATCTTAAACTTCAGTAATCTAGAAAATCCTGAAGGAGATAAGGAAATCTGTGATCCTATAGCTGTGACTTTCACACAAATTGCTCAGTTTTACTGGTCGTATTTTTTCATTTAGCTGTTGAATACTCACAATGTGTGAGGCTCCGTGGTAGGCCCTGGGGGAGATGAGCAAGAATAAGACGTGGTCGATAATGTTGTGAAGATAGCCCTGGATTTGAAGTTTGAAGACCTGGTGTCTACTCTGGGACCTGGAATAAGTCCTTTTGGTTTTCTCAGCTGCAGCTTCCTCATCTATAACTCTTAGCTTCTAATGTTCCTTCCAGTTTTAAAAGTCTGCGATTTTCTGAGTCCCTCTTTCTTAGGATGGTTGGTGTTATGGTCTGAATGTTTGTGTCCCCCCAAAATTCATATATTTAAAGCCCGGTGCCCTGGGCCGGCCCTGTGGCTTGGCGGTTAAGTGCGCGCGCTCTGCTGCTGGCGGCCCGGGTTTGGATCCCAGGTGCGCAACGACGCACCGCTTCTCCGGCCATGCTGAGGCCACGTCCCACATACGGCAACTAGAAGGATGTGCAACTATGACATACAACTATCTACTGGGGCTTTGGGGGGAACAAAAAAATAAATAAACATTTAAAAAAAAAAAAAAAAGCCCAGTGCCCAAGGTTACAGTATTAGGAGGTAGGGCCTTTGGGAGGTGATTAGATCATGAGGGCAGAGCTCTCATGAATGGGATTTGTGCCTATATAAAAGAGGCCCCAGAGAGCTGGCTTTCCCCTTTCACCATGTGAAGACATAGCTAAAAGTGGGCAGTCTGCGACCGGAAAAGGGCCTTCACCAGAACCCAGCCATCTTGCTGCCTTGATCTTGGCCTTCCAGCCTCCAGAAGTGTGAGAAATAAATTTCTCTTGTTTGTAAGCCACCCAGTCTGTGGTATTTTGTTACAGCAGCTCGGGCAGACTAAAACAGTTAGGAAGTTTAGTGAAAGCACTTGGAGTTCCGTAGAAGAAAAGAGTTCTTTATATCCAAATTATTTTCATTATTATTGTTCTTTCTTTGTTTTTATTGCTGTACATCTGCATAGGTTTGTAGGGAAAACCTTTATGAATTTATTCATGAGACACTGAATGCCTTTTATGTGCAGGATGTGTAGGTGTCAGGAATACAAAGATTTATGAAACCCGGAGCTCTGGTGGAGCTCTGGATGGAGGTAGAAGACCAATATTTGCATTACAGTGTGCTCTGTGCTATAATAAATGTAGAGAGGTGATAGTTATTTCAGAAATACTCATTGATTGCTTCCTCTGTGTCTTGGTAATAGAACACGCTAGGCACTGAGCACACAGAGAGGACTAAGACACAGTTGAAGAGCCAACAGTCCTAGTACTCATGTATAGATGCCAAGGGTATCTCAGCTTTGCCTAACACCTGATAAATCCCTCTTACTCTGTTTCCCTGGAAGCCTACTGGATCTCTGCCACAAGCTGGCAACACGGGATCCTATTCTCTACATTATATTAGGTAAATTATCAGTCCAGGAGTATTTTGTCAGGCACCAACTGTCTTGCACTGGAGGTTGCTGTCCTAGGGTAGGGTGTACTGCTGAACCAGATCCAAAAATGGCTCAAACACAAAGGTAATTCATTTCTTGCCAACTGAATAGTCCAGGGCCAGGGTCCAGTCTTCTTCCCTCTTGTGGCTCCATCATCCTGGAGGGCTTGCCTTTGGGTGCTGCTTAAGACTGAATTGTCACCTTCAGGTAACAATAGACAGAAGGAAAAAGAGAGCCAGGGTGAAAACAGGTGGAAGAGACACCCCCGGTCTCTTAAAGGCCCTGGCTGTTGGGGGGACATGCGTTACTGCACTCAGATTCTGCTGGAGAGAGCGCAAGGCCTCAGCTGTCTTGTAAGAATGACTGACTGGGAAATGTGGTGCCCAGCTACAGGCATCATGTATGTGTTCTATTTCTGTTTAAGAAGAGGAGAATAGATTTTGTATAAAGTGAAACTGGTAAAAAAAAAAAAAAAAAAAAAGAGTCTTTCTTTACCTTGAACATTTATGTTTTTAGTCATAAGAAATATTTTTCTTTTCTAAGCCTCAAGTTGGACTTCATTAGAGAAATAGAAGGCATAACCCTTGCCCTCAAAGAACTTAGAAAGTAGCTAAGGAAATAAGACTCATATGCAAAATCATCTCTGCAGGGCACAGGCTGTGTCTTATTCTCTGCTACCTCGCTAGCACCTAACACAGATCTGACAAATAATTGTTATATTCAATTACAAGCAGTCTAAGTGCATGGCTGTCAAAATGGGGTGTTGTGTGGTTGATGGAAAGACACCAATGGACTCTGTTAGAGGATGTTATAAACAGAAACTCAAATTATTATGGAAAGCAGAAGATAATGCAGCATGACCCCAGACTGAATATGACTTCCCAGGTTTCCAAAGTTCCCTATGGACGTGCAAAGCAGTGCACACGGAGCAAAGATTCCTCAGGTGTGAAAAGTGACCTCTGCCCTTCTTCTAGGAGATTATTCTGTCCTGGCCACCTCTACGGCCTGTCTGTTTTGGAGGCTCTGGCCACATGCTTGCCTTTGGTTGAGTGTAAATAACAGGTACAAAATGGCCTCAGTACTTTCCTGAGTAATCACCATGAGACTGAGTGAGTGAAGGCCAAGTTTCTAGGGGTAACATCCCCAGGCAGGCCCGGCCTCAGGCCTTTGTGAGATCCGTTCTCTACCAGCTTAGTGTACACATCATTGCGAGTTCACTGTTAGCTTTGGGATATGGGGGATATTTCCAATTCCAATTTTTTTTAACAGCTTTATCGAGATATAATTTACATACCATTCACTCTTTAAAAATGTACAATTCAGTGGTTTTTAGTAGGTTGTGCAACCACCACCACTGTCTAATTCCAGAGCATTTTCATCATCCCAAAAGAAACCGTTAGCAGTCACTGTTAGCAGTCATTCTCTATTCCTTCACTCTCCCCGCAACTCTAGGCAACCATGAATCTACTTTCTGTCTTTCTGGATTTGCCTATTCTGGACATTTCATATAAATGGAATTGTAGGAAACTAAACTAATAAGTGTCCAGGACCAAGATTTGGACTAAATTCTCTTGTTTCCAAGTCTAGGGCTCTTTCCACTCCTCATCTGAGCCACCTCTTTGTGGAACAAGTGAAACTTGAACCTGGAGAAACTGATAGAATGGCTTTCCCTCGCATTATCACCTTTTAAATTTGTTTCCCTGGCCACCTCCCCTGGTTTGGAACTTTAGTCATGAAAAACGCTTCTCTGAAACTTCGTCTTGTTCTCGCTAATTAACTTGCATGAGCACTGATGTTCTGGGAGCACAGCTGTCCTGGCAGTTGCTTGAATTCTTGTGATGTAGTTTCCTCTGTTCTCAGGGCGAGGCGTTAGCATGGCATTCACACTCCTAGGACGTGTGGACATTTAGGAAGGAGGGTACCTTCCTCCTCTTGTGCTTCTATCCATATTGTTTCATAGCATCCTTCCTTCTGTTTCAGCAGTAATTTCGTAAAACTAAGTCTGAATGTAGAAGGCGTAGTTTACCAACTGCTCTGCTTTCTCCTTCTTCCCTCTAGGTTTAATCTCTCCCCTTTGTGGTGTCTTTTTTTCTAAAAGACTATCTTTGTTGGCCTCATCTCACCTGGATGAAAAATTCTATGATTGGAATAGAGTAGTGACAAATAACCTATGATTTGCTGACTCATGAGCTCCCAAAGGAAGGCTCTGGCCATTGAAAGTTACTTCTCCCCCAAGAATTGGTGTTTGAGCCTTACAGGCAGTGTTTGGCAGAGCCTTCCTCATCCATTGCATCCCTCCACACCTGTTCTAGGTTTAGATCTCTTCTCCTTGCAGCCCCCCTGAACCCAATTTTATGCAGATTTCAAATGAAGAGACACTGAGTCTTTTAAACCATATAACTACCATCAGTGTAATCAATAAAAATGCGTTCTCTGCAGTAGTTGTAAGTGACAACAATGTTAGGCTACTAATGAAATGGATATTTTCGTTTAGTATCTGTAAATTCTGAAACACAAGTTAATCATTTCAGAGAAGAGACCAGATTTTTCCACCTCTGAGTTTGTGTTCAGAATCAGCTCATCTTCTCCTCTCCTGACTTTGATTACTCTGAAGACCATGAGGCGTTTGGGGGCAGTGTCGAGTGTGATACACGGTAGATTGGCAGGTAGCCCAGGTGTAACACGTTTTGTCCATGTGACTCAGACCACCACCAGGGGTTTGCTCAGCAGCAGCTCTGTGCAGAGCCTGTTGGGCTGGGCTAGGTCTGAGGACAGTCAGAAGAGGGAGACATGTTCCCTGCCCTCAAACAGCTTACTGTCCTCCAGTTGGGTATATATTACTGTTGGTCTTGAAAACACTCTAAAATATTATACTCAGTTTTATGTACCAACCATTACCAGAGAAAATGGGAGATGGCTTCCTGGAGGAAGACGGTTTGGAATAGGGCCTTGAAGCCTGGAAGGGCTTGAGTGGGGAGTAGACAGCACAGTACCTTGGAGTCAACTAGTTCTGACGTTAGAGTCCAGCTCTGCCTGTTCTTACATGACATTAGCAAGTTATTTAAACCTTTAAATGGAGAAACAAGCTATTATGACAATTCAAATCTTGTACAGTTCCTGACACAATAGAAGCTCAATAAATAATGTTTCACATTCAGGTTAAAGATGGGAAAGAATAAAAAATAGGAAATGAACTTATGTTTTGAGGGGAGGCAGTGGAAGAACAGCATGCTGAGAGATTAGGGTAAAAGGAATATAGAGGCTTTTTTGGATACAGTGCCTGTTTTTAGTTCTTAAATGATGATATTCGTCTTTTCCCAAAGAATTGTACAGTTGGTCTTCTCCTTGCCCTACAGAGCACTGCCCTTTGTCTCCCACTGCTGTGTTGGTTTATTTGTCACTCCCTGGCTCTCTGAGTCCCAGCTGTTCCTGCTTAACCATGTTTCTCTTGTATTCAGGAGTGCTCCTACCCCAGCTCACTGCTGCCCGGCTGTTGGAACACTGCATAACACCAACACACTCGAGGCTTTCAAGGCTGCAGATAAGAAGCTACTTTTGGAACAAGCAGCAGATGAGGTTAGCTGGGAAAACGTGATGTATCCGTCATATTTTCTGTGGTCCTGGCAGGCGTGCTGTTTCTGGTCAGGTGCATGGGTCTGTCATAGAAACTAGGATGTAGTCGATACTCAGAGATGGTTGTGGGCTTCTGCATTGGTGGGAAGGTCAAGGAGGAGACATTCATGCTCTCACCTGGGGATAGGCTGGGAATTCATGGCAGGGCAGTGTGAAGAGCTTTGCTGCTGATCTCTAGGTAGCATTTTGAAGCAGTTTGACCTCTCTGAGAGTTCTGTTCCTGTGTCTGTGTTTGGGTTCTCTGTTCTTTGTGCTCCTTGGAGAGGCTTTCCAGTCCTAAGCACCATAGTGCTGTCAGAGATGATCATATAGTGTCTCCAGGATCCTCAGGGCTAAATCAAAACTACTCCATCTGATTTACTGGGCCCCTCAGGGCCTGGCTTCTGTGGCCTTTCTGTGCTATCACTCTTGTCCCTGCTTTCTCTGACTCAGTTACAGCAAATCACTTCTAATTCCTTCCTTCACCTACTTGTTGTTCTCTCCTTTATCCTAGGGACATGATGTTCTCTGCCTGGAATGTCTTGTCTTACTTCTTCACATCTGAGTTAGTGCGAGGAATTAAAATGGGGGGACAGTTTATCCCATCCTCTCTAACCCACTTAATCGAGTGGTCTTCACACTAGTCTTATAAAACAAGTCTCATTTATGTGGGAGCCGTGGTCAGAGAAGGGCATCTCCTACCTTTGGTCCTGAGGCAGGCGTCCCTTACATCCCTCAGGATGCATGCAGCTCATGAGTCCGGTGATGATGGTTGTTTTCCTTGACTGCTCCTGGGCCTCCTGTCTTGGCTGCACATTTAAAAAGCTGTCTCCAAAGAGTTGGGTCAGGTCTTACTCCATCACTGAAAACAGCAGGTTGCTCCCCGCGGGAATCCCACCCCTTCCCCAGGGCTCAGCCTTCCCCCGGCAGTCTCCCCGCCTCGGCTTATCAGAAGTGGGAGGTTACTCTTCAGTGGTCCAGCTCCTCCAAGGTTATTATTTCAATAACAAGAACTTCTCTTTGCTTCTTTAACTCTTTCACCCATATGTGGGGAATGGCTTTTATTGGTGCAACTGTTTGTGTTGCTTAGTGACACAAAGTTTAGCAACTAATCTTAGCTACTAAAACATCTTGTGACCAGCAGCTGCTGCTTCCAGTCACGATAGTTGCTGAGTATTCGTAAACTCGAAATTTGTTCTCTTTCCTTCATATCTCAGGGCAAGATAATCCCAAATAAGACTTTAAGAAATCTCCTATACGTAGTTCAAATCACTGCCTCCTGGAACCCCTCCCTGGCTCTTTTCCCTCTCTCCTCCCCAGCCAAGACAGTGCTCCTCCCAGGAATTCAACATCCTTCTGTAATAGCACATCGTACGTGGTGGTGTACTCGGACATTGATGCTTTTCTGTCTCTCATGAGACCATAAGGTTCTTGAGGGTAGGGACTGTGTCTTTTATTTCTATAACCCTAGTGCGCCTGATGTACAGTCGACAATAAGTGAATGTGTGTTGAAGGAAATAATGAAGACATGAAAATGGCCTGGTTGCCTCCTCTGATGCTGAGACCCACTGAGAGGAGCTTCTGCGTTCTCTCACTTTCCTCAGCCTCTGCAGGGAGTGTGGCTGGTGGAGAGGCAGTCTGGAGTGTGCAGAATGAGTAATGACCCAGTTCATTGCCCAGGATAAGTGGTGCTGGGCCTCTAGGAAAGAAGGGCTCAGTGCTTTTCAGCTGTGTGCTTTGCTTGAGAGTGAGAAGCTCAGAGATGCCTGATCACCTGCCTTGACACTTTTCTTTGTTCTGGCAGATATGGGAATCCATAAAATCGGGCACTGCCCTCGAAAACCCTGTCCTCCTCAACAAGTTCCTCCTCTTGACATTTGCAGTAAGTAAATGGACCCTTGTTCGCATTTAGATTCCTCAGATGCCCTGGCCTATAACCCAATGTGCTAATAGAGCAGTCTGCTCTTTTCTCCCTGAAGCTATTACCTTGTGTTATTCAAGTCATGGCTGTTAAAGAAACGCTCATTTGGTTAGTGGTCCGATAGTGCTGGCACTTATTACCAGTGCAAAATTAATTCGTTCTTACCAATCATCCTGATATAGTCATAGTGCTGGTAGTAGTTGCATGATTTATATAACATGGTGACCCAACTCTTGTCATTCAGGACACGATCGTCAGGTTCAGGGAGCAGTGGTCCCTTGTTGCTAACATCTTTGTTAAATACAGTCCTGCAGAGCTCAGTTGCTGGGTCCGTCATGATAAGGAAGAGGTGGTGTCTCGGGGATCCCGACCATCCCCAAGTGGTTTCTGGACTAGTGGAGATCACACTACATAGTTTGTCCACACAGTTGTGTTTTTTTAAAAGAGAAAAATGTTTTATGTAAGTGAGATCTAATTTAAATGAACATTAGGGGCAGCGTTCAAGAGGAAAAGAAATCACATTAGGGTAGCATCTGCTGCCAGGGGAGGTAGGGGGAAGGACCTGGTCTCAGTGATGGGGAAAGTGGGGAAAAGGTGAAAGTTGATTGTAGAAGTACCAGCTACAAACACTCACATACACATATATACTCATATATGTATATGTGTGTGTAGATCTCCATGTGTCTCCATATAAAACTAATTTATCCTTTATAATTATGTTGACTGTATACTATTCTGTCAAGTGTATGTTGTCTAGACTCTTGTACATCCAGGCTGTTTTCAATATTCACTATTAGAAAATTACTGCAGTGGGGCCGGCTCTGTGGCTTAGCGGTTAAGTGCGCGCGCTCTGATGCTGGCGGCCCGGGTTCGGATCCCGGGCGCGCCCCAGGGCACCACTTCTCCGTCCAGCGCGAGGCCGAGTCCCACGTACAGCAACTAGAAGGATGTGAACCTATGACATACAACTATCTGCTGGGGCTTTGG